CATTAGTTTTGTTTTTGAACAATATCATTTTTCATTTCCAAGGAGTTCCCAATCCCACTTATTTGAAGATGAAAAAAACTTAACTCACTAAACTCTTGCTTTGTCTTGCTTTGTCTTTGCTTAAATCTTTTTAAAAACCCAGTGAATTCCTAAACCTTCTTATTTGAAGAAGAAATAATTAAACTTTCTACATTCTTAGTTAGCTTTGCTTTCGCAAAATATCTTTTTCCGTTTCCAAGAAATTAAAATCCTCCTCATCTGAAAAAGAAAGAACTAACTTTCTCCACTCTCAATTATTTTTGTTTTGGTACAGTCCACTTTCCATTTCCGAGGAAGAAAGAAGAAAGATCTTAACTGTTTGCTTTCTTAGCTTTGCTTTTTCGCAATATCCTTTTCCGTCTCCAAGGAAATCTGAATCCTCCTTATTTGAAGAAGAACTTAACTTTGTGCACTCTTGCTTAGTTTTGTTTTTGCTGAATATCATTTTCTATTTCCGAGGAATTCTTAATCCCCTTATTTGAAGAAGAAAGAGCTTAACTTTCTGCTCTCTTACAGTCTTACTTATCTTATTTTTCCGCAATCAAGACTTCCCAACCCCTCTTACTTGAAGAAGGAAAAAGTTACTTGAAGAAGAAAGAAGTTACTTGAAGAAAAAAGAAGTTAACTTTTTGCACTCTATCTTAATTTTGCTTCTACACAATATCATTTTCCATCTATAGGAACTCACAATCCTCCTTATTTGTACATGAAAGAAGCTTAACTTTCCGTAATCTTGATTCATTTTGTGTTTGCGGAACATCAGTTATTTCCGAGGAATTTCTAATCCTCCTTATTTGAAAAATAAATATTTGTGCATTTTTACTTAGTTTTGTTTTTGCACTGTATCATATACCATTTGCGAGGAATTCCTACAGTTCGCTATATTTCAAGAAGAGCTAAACTTTCTGCAGTCTTATTTCGTTAGTTTTGTTTTTGTACAATTCCATTTCCAATTTCCAATGAATTCCTATTCCGCCTTATTTGAAGAAGAAAGAACTTTGCTTTGTGCACTCTTACTTACTTCTGTTTTTGCACAATACCTTTGTATTTCCGAGGAATTCGTAATCATAGATCAGTAATCATCCTGCTTATTTGAAGAAGAAAGAGCTTAACTTTCTGCACTTTAGCTTAGTTGAAAAAGAACTTTTTCGAGGAATTCCTAATTATGCTTATTTGAAGCTCTCTGGCGTAGTTTTGTTTTTGTGCAATATCCTTTTCTATTACCAAGGAATACCTAATTTTGTTTTCGCACAATCCGCCTTATTTGAAGAAGAAAGAACTTTTCTTTCTGCACTATTACTTACTGCTGTTTTTGCACCATACTCTTTCCATTTCCGGGCAATTCATTCTGCAGTCTTACATAGTAGTGATTTTGTGATCATTTTCCATTTCTAAAGAATTCCTAATCCTCCTTATTTCAAGAAGAAGGAACTTAACTTTGTGCACTCTTAGTTTTGTTTTGCCCAATATCATTTTCCTTTTCCACGAATTCTCTTTATTTAAAGAAGAAAAAACTTAATTCAGCCCTCTTGCTTTGGTTTGTTTTGCACAATATCACTATCGTTATCCGAGGAATTCCTAATCCTCTTCAGAACGGGTGGATAGAAGAACAATGAAGATTGTGTGGTTAAATGAACACAGTATAAAGGCTATATCTCCTTTGATAGTATTTGTTATAGAAAACAGGTTTCTACGGCTTTTTCCCGACACAGGACTAATGTAGTAACTGATGTTGCATCTTTGTTTCATGGCCAATTCATAATTTCTCCAAAGGCGAAGACAAGGATTGTATAACAGTGAAGTATATCCTCGTTCATTATAAATTTATCGCAGGAAAGCGGTTTCCAAATCTTTTTCACCACATGGAATTTGTTATGCCGTAACTTTCTCCGATTCCCAACAATTCAACAACCTATGATGGCTGTATGACACTCAATATATAATAATTTCAAAGAAAAAACAAGTGTTCTGAGCCAAACAAATTAATGCTTATAAAAACACGCCTTAATTCCACTTGACCAGAAATTGTCTTGGGGATCTTGGGATATGTCAAGGAATATGAATAAATAAACATAAAACTACTTAGTAACATTATATTGAATGCATAAAAAAGCACTATAAAATAATAGTAGGTTAGCAGTAAATAATTGATTGAATCGAGTATATGGAAATTCTAACGGTTACCGCAAGTACTTGAAAAACTTTGAATAGATCGATGACGATGTACCAAGGTTGTAATCTTCTTTTCGTTCATATTGACTTTAACCTTTTTATTAGTCCTCGGGGCCGTCTCTCGCAACCTCGCAAACATTCCAGCGTACGGTTCTACAGCAAGCAATACTTATTGTGTCATGTGGTGCGGAACTATAAATTTAAATGGTAGTTTCTACAGCATGCAGTACCTATTATGTCATGTGATGCAAAGCTATTTATTTCTGAAGTATGCACTAGTTATTGTTTTATATGATGCGAAGCTAAATATTTAAATGGTAAACTCTGGAGCTTGCAGTACTTATATTTTGTCACGCGAAGCTATGTATTTTTAAATAATAGTAATTCCTTAGCATGCCATTACTTATTATGTCATATGAAGCTATGTTTAAATACATAAACTACCTATTATGTCGTGTCAAAGTAACATTATATATTGAATGCATCAAAAAGCACTATTAAATAATACTATACCGTAGGAGTATAAAATTTATGAATTGAATACATAGAAATTCTAACGGTTACCGCAAGTACTAAAAAAACTTTGATAAATGAGCAGGAACCAGGGCCTTATAATAAGACGGGCAACAAGGATGTTGCCCCCTTGAAAAAGAAGACTTGCATGTGATCTTCCTTTTCGCTCATATTGACTTCTAACTGAAGTTCGTAGTGTTCCACTGGCCTTCTGCCGTATACCATCTTTATTCTTTTCCTGGCATTAAATTCCAAGTTGACATGTTCGCACTAAAGTTAAAAGTAAACATTTATGCCACTACATGGAGAAAAAAGGCGATACAAATTTGAAACAAGATATCACAAACCGGGGTTTTGTTAAATACCTGACCTGACCAATTCCGTTCATCTCAATACAAAGCATCAACATCTTGAGATTTTTATTATTATCTATGATGCAAAGCTATATATTTCAACACTAATTTCTACAGCATGCAGTACTTATTATGTTATCCGATGCAAAGCTATATATTTAAATAATAATTTCTACAGTATGCATTACTTAATACTTATTATGTCAATTGATGCAGAGCTACATGTATTTAAATAGTAATTTCTACAGCATGCAGTATCTATATTGTGATGTGATGCAAAGCTATTAATTTTATTACTTTTATTTAGCATTGCTTCTGCACGATATGATTTTCCATTTCCGAGGATTTCGTAACCTCCTTATTTCACGAAGAAAGAACTTAATTTTCCACACTGTTGCTTAGTTTTTTTTTTGTGCAATATAATTTGCCATCTCCACGGATTCTTAACCTCCTTATCTAAAGAAAAAAGAACTTAACTTTTCATCTATATTTCCACTCTCACTTAGCTTTGCTTTGGCACAATACCTTTCTCCCTTTCAGGGGAATTCTCAATCCTCCTCATTTGAAGAACTTAACTTTTTGCACTGTTACTTAGTTTTGTTTTTGCACGATATTATTTTCCATTTCCGAGGATTTCGTAACCTCCTTATTTAAAGAAGAAAGAACTTAACTTTTCATCTCCACTCTCACTTAGCTTTGCTTTGGCACAATACCTTCCTCCCTTTCAGGGGAATTCTCAATCCTCCTCATTTGAAGAACTTAACTTTTTGCACTGTTGCTTAGTTTTGTTTTTGCGCATTATCTTTTCCATTTCCGAGCATTTCATAACCTCCTTATTTCAAGAAGAAAGAACTTAAGTTTCCCCACTGTTGCTTAGTTTTTTTTTGTGCAATATAATTTTCCATCTCCACGGATTCCTAACCTCCTTATTTAAAGAAGAAAGAACTTAACTTTTCATCTCCACTCTGACTTAGCTTTGCTTTGGCACAATACCTTTCTCCCTTTCAGGGGAATTCTCAATCCTCCTCATTTGAAGAACTTAACTTTTTGCACTGTTACTTAGGCTTTCCTTTTGCACGATACGATTTTCCATTTCCAAGGATTTCGTAGCCTCTTTATTTCAAGAAGAAAGAACTCAACCTTCCACACCTTTGCATACTTTTGTTTTTGTGCAATATAATTTTCCATCTCCACGGAATTCCTAATCCTCCTTATTTAAAGAAGAAAGAAATTGAGCACTCATACTTATAGCTTTGCTTTTGCACAATATCTTTTTCCGTTTCCGAGGTATTCCTATCTCTTCTTATTTAAAGCAGAAGCAGCTTAACTTTTTGCACCCTTGCTTAGTTTTGCTTTTTCGCAATATCTTTTTCCATTTCCAAGGAATTCCTAATCCTCCTTATTTGAAAAGAATGAACTTAACTTTCTGCATACTTACTTAGCTTCGTTTTGCTTTGCTTTTGCTCAATAGCTTTTTCCATTTCCGAGGATTTCGTAACTTAATTTTCTGCACTCTGGCTTAGTTTTGTTTTTGTGCAATATCATTTTCCATATCCGAGGTATTCCAAACCACCTTATTGAGGAAGAAAGAACTTAACTTACTGCACTCTTACTTAGTTTTGTTTTCCAGAATATCATTTTTCTATTCAGAAGAATTCCTAATCCTCCTGACTGAAAGAAGAAAGAACTGAACTTTTGGTAGTCTTACTTTACTTAGTTTTGTTTTTGCACAATATCGTTCTCTATTTCCAAGTAATTCCTAATCTTCCTTATTTCTGCACAATTCCACCCTCGTTTTGTCAACATTGCTTTTTATTGCTTCTTTTTTCACAATCTAGCGAAGATCTTAAAATATTCGCCATTCCTGCAAGATATTTCCGATTTAAGAAGAGAAAAGTTGTCATATATATTTTTCTTTTTTAGAGGTTGTTAAGTTAAAGCAGTTTCATTGGCATTTAGAACTGAAAGTGGAAAAGGTATGATGGTTTGGTTTGGTTTTGTAGACATCTGGACTCCTGAATAAGCATTTTAGATTATTTGGTTGCTTGTTACAAACGGAAGGATATACTACACTGTAGAAATATAGAACATTTGGCTTCTTTCCAGCAGCAAAGTTTGTTTACTAAATCATTGGATACCTAAAAAGTGGTCTTGAAAAAGTATAAAGAATGCAACGCCAGTGCCCCTTAACTACATATTTCAATAAATATAACCTATATGAAGATATCCATCGGTCACAACTATGTCCTAATTGTTAAAGAGGGAAAGTTTTTCTAGTCGTGACCGTATAATTCTTTGTTTATTTGGTGCTCTAGTGTACAGAAAAGCACAAGATTTGCTGAAAAACAAATTAGGATGAACATTACAAAAAGAAGCTTATTTCTTGGAAAGGTACATCGTTGTTTAGCATCTTGATTTGAAATCGCATTGTAATTCGTAGTGGAAAAAACTTTTCAACAAATGGATATGGCCAGAATATAACATAATCTGATGATACGCTCTGAAATATTGCATCAATCATGTGTCGATCAATTATGGGATAATCCATCAGTTCACCATAAAGAGGAATAACTTATAAGCCCAATGGTGTTGACACTATTGAGGAAAAATACTCCGAACTCATATTAACAACTGGAAAGGAAGGTTTTCCTGCCGTTCCCCGTACAGCTCACTTCCAAAGAGTCTGGATATGAATGCAACTGCGGGACTAAATGAGAAGTTTGTAATAGACTTGAAGTAAAAATAAATTAATAATCGCTAGCTGTCCTTATAGACTGAAAGTAATGCATAAAAAGGCACATAGAGCTTATAGCAATAGCAATCACTAGCTGTCTTAAATAAGTTTCCTTATAGAAAGGCTGCTTTACTAATTCCTACATCATGTACTACTTATTATATGATCAAAGCTATACTGTTAAATACTAATTTCTAAAGCAAGCACTACTTAATTATTAGGACATGTGATGGAAGGGTATATATTAGCACACAGCATGTGCTACATATTATGTCACATGATTTAAGGCTATATAGTTTTATACTAACTTCTATAGACTATAGCATACACCACTGATATTAAAGAAAGCATGCATATATAATCCCAATAAAGTTCGCACGTGTGATATAAATTACCTATATTAATAATACATAAAACAATAATATAAAAATAAAGTATATATATAAAGTCAATAGCGTACTTCTGTGGCGAGGTCCTATAAATATATGCTTTATCTCTCAGGTTAGCCCGTCGTTGTCTTTTAAACAAACATTCTATATTTACATCTTCTGCGTCTCGCTATTCATCTCAGTTGTATGTGATCTCTGACGTCATGCTCAAAGTTCAACAAGCGTCTACGCACGTGTCAATCAGACCTATAGGGAAGCTGTTAATCCACTCCCCCCTACCCTTCCGATGAGGGCTCTCCTCATCAACTAAAATGGGAAATACATCTCTACTCCAATGTTTCCAAAAACTGTCGACTAGCTATCCTCTGGACGAAGTCGACGCCATGACGAAGATTCTTCGTTTCTCTGAATGGTTCTTGTGGTACCATCGTTGACGCTCGACCAAGCAGAATGTCGTTGAGACAGGTTGTTGGCAGGTCTTACATGAATTGCTCCTCGGCTTTTGCTTGCATTTGACAGTAACATACGCACTTAAATTTCATAGACTTGGTGAGGTAATGGCATCGAATGATCCAATACTTTCCTTATCTTTGCAACTCCTGAGTGGCCGTTTTAGTGCAATTCTCGAGTAATCAGTAGCGATATCCAGTGTTCACGTGGGAGTAAAACTGGGTGTCTGGCATCGTACGATATCGTGGCTTTGTTTACACGTCCTCCGACTCTGATCGTTCCGTTGTCATCGTTAAATGGGGTTAGTCCCTTCAGTTCTCCCTTTTTAATGCAATTATGGAGTGTCTTATGGCTTTGCTTTATCCAATATAACTTGGCGTCTTCTAATTCCTTTGCTGATATTGAACTTTCTTCTGAATTATTTTCTGACTGGTGGGTTGTACTGGGTTGTTTCTGTGTTCTCTTTGGTTCGACGTCGGCGATAGGCGTGACTGGAATACGTTTTTTCCAAGTTCAAACTTCTTACATGGAATGACTTCTGACGGTTGAGTACGAGTACGATACAGGTGCAGCTTAGGTTTTCCCGCGTTCCGATTGAGCAGGTATTCCTCGCCATACATCATCGGCGACATTTTTCTCCCCAGGGACATGCCTTCGCTGCTCTGGATTTCCGCGATTCGAGCTGAAATGCACGGTTTAAATTCTCTGGATTGCTTTCGGATCTAGAAAGGACGATGTGGCTGTCTGAGAGGAATATTATCTCTAAAAAAAGCAGCCAAAACTCTTCGAGAATGGAACAACATAATTATACTGCCAGGACTGCTGCTTGTAGCTCCAAGCGAGGTATAGTCAGCGACTTCAATGGGGCTCGGCTACTCTTGACTTAGCTGCGTTGAATCTGGTTGCCAAGGTGTTGGTTTCTATCTCCTATCTGATATAGGCGCACGCTCCAAAGGCTTCAATCGATACATCAGAGAAGATGCACAGTGCAGGGGCTCCAATCATTGTTTCTGGTGTCAGAGATCTTTCGAAGGTGCCGCTGTTTAGGTCGTTAATCTCTTGGAAGAATCGAGTCCACGCTGTTTGGAGTCTTTTCGGTAGTTCGTCATCCAATTGCAATTCTTCTAACCACAGTTTTTGCATTTCCATTTTCGCACGAATTAGGAAAGCTACAGCTGCTCCAAGGGGATCGTAGATTCGAGCTACATGACTTAAAATTGCTCTCTTCGTAAATTTGGTCAGTTCAGGAGGATTTACTTTGAAACAAAATGCGTCGTTGTGGTGATTCCAAACCGTTCCCAAGACCTTCTCTTCACCTGGATCTTGTAGAAACTTTAAGTCCGATTCACTTATTTCAACAGTTCTTTCTTCATCCTTCTTCAATGATCGCTTTGAGATCCAGCACTTGACATTAAAACCACCGTTGCGAAGGATTTCGTCAATTTCTGCCGTAACTATCTTAGCTTCTTCTTCTGAATGCACGGAATCACATTTGTCGTCCATGTAGGTGTTTTTCTTTATGACTTCAGCTGCTTCGGAATAGCGTTTCTGTCCTTCTTCAGCGGTCTTCTGCAGAGCGGTCTGTGCCATGGCTGGTGCAGGTTTGTCTCTACATCTTGCATGTATCTGCGTTGATAGCCACTTTGTTTTCTCGGAATCGTAGAAAATCTCTTAACAGATTGTTCAGAAAATCTGTTCCTTTCATCCAATAGTCGTTCAAGCAGTGTCCTTTGTATATATGATGCTGAGGAATTGAAAGAAATTTTTGGCTATTCGACATTCAGTACTTTCCAATTTCTTTTCCGTTTGGGTTCGGTTATCCGGTAATTCTTCTGCATCTTTGGTCCAGGGGTATGTATGTATGTATGCATGTATTTAATAAAATTACCTTGCAGCCTTAAGACTGAATTACGTCATTATTAGAGTTAAAACTATCACGTAATAATTATACTAAAACATTAAATTATTTATATAAATTAAGTAAAATAATTGATATTAAGTATTTAAAATCGAGCGAGGAAGTTAACTATTTTTGACCTTATTACACATTGCATATAATAATTATGAAGAGTTTGCTACCCTATTTGTATGGCTCATAAGAATATTGAAAGTTCTTTCATGTCTTAGATTGTTACTTACCGTAATTATTCGAATAAACGCTGCGGCGTTTATTAAATTTTTAGCAATTAAGATGCGGCGTTTATTCGAGGGCGGCGTTTATTCAAGGGAGGCGTTTATTGCAAACTCGTAACAACTCTGAATTTATTGTGTAATTTAAACGCCAATTCAACCAATACAATCAATCCCCAAAAAAACTAAGTATAAAAGTTATGTGTCTTTTCTATTTATATAATTATATATGAAAATTGAACCGTGGTTATAAATAAATACTTCGAATAAACGCCGCAATGACGAAAAGGTTGCGGCGTTTATTTGAGGGCGGCGTTTAATGATATTTTTGCTTGTACCTGCGGCGTTTATTCGAGGGCGGCGTTTATTCGAGGGAGGCGTTTATTCGAGTAATTACGGTAATTCATTCTTTTCTGGTAACAAATTATACATTTTACTGTGTGAGTCAAGCACAGCAGATTGGAATAATTTATTTTGCTCTCTGTACGAGGTGTTAAGGATAATTGGGCCAGGATGTACGAGTATTCCTTTAAAACTATATAAGGTAACTTATCGGGCCCGCATGCTCTGTTTGTTAGGAATTTCGATAAAACTTTTTGCATTCTTATTTTTGATACATTTGGAAAGATTGGCGTTTCCTCCAACAGAAAATTTGGTGACGGACATTGTAATCTGTACTCCTCAAGATATTCTAGAAATGCTTTATTGATTTCATTTGCTCGTTCTTTTGGCGTAAGGTTAGAAAACGTTTCCACCTTGGCTAAACCTATTGGTTCTCATTTAGTATTAAAGTTGCAGACACGTTTAATTTCACCCCACCATTTCTTCGGTTTTTTTCTTTCAACTTATGAATATTAAGTGACAATACTTCGCTCTACATGATTTTAGCTCCCTGTTAACTAAATTCCTGTACTTATCGCCGATTTCATTCCATGAGTGACAAAACCCTGCTGTCTTTTGTTAATAAGCGATTTCAATTTATTATTCATCCATGGTGCATCTGGGGTAGGGTTGCAGCTCATCGCAAGAATGATTTTCATTGGCTGAACTTTACAATACATTCCTGTTTCAACCAATAGCATAGCTTTGTTCTTTAGAAAGCAAAGAAAAGCATTATCCAATTGGACGAAAGCTTCCGAGCACTGCGAGATGTCCCTGCATCTGTAGTGGAGACCTTAATTTCTTTACTTGGCATCAAAAGTTCAAGGCCGTGAAAAACCACGTTGTCAAAAGTATTTCAAATTTCTTCGCAGTTAATCTGATCGGAAATGATTTAATGCAGGTAATTTCAATGCTTAAGATATTTTGATTCAATTAAGGTAAGTGTTTGGAACAAATGGTCGCAAATTGTTTTACTGTTTTACGCCGACAACTATATATGAAACACCCCGATGGAGACTGTGCGGTCTGATACTGAGCCACAAAAGTTCGTGATGATCACAGCAATTAAGATTCTCAAGAAGTTTAAAATTGTTTAATTCATTAATATTTATGTTAATGCATACGCCATCCATAAGGAAAGAATGAAATTAACCATTGATCTTTTCACAGATTTTTTCTATAACTTTGGCTTCGTAAGCTTCAAGTGGGCTTAAAGTTTTGATTTCGCATGTCACTTCATGCTTTCCCAAGGCAAAGTCACACAAAATCGACCGGGTATGAACACTTGACATGAAAGACTTGGCTGACGTTGTCGCTCCTTCCGACGTTGCTCCAAAGACAACCCGTCCCAATGGTGAATGTCTTGCAACAAGATTGCTAGCTTCTCTTGTTTCACCAGTGTTTAATTTTGGATAGTCAATTCCTAACAGAACATCAAATGGACCACTACCTCTCCATATTTCCTCCTTTCCAATACCAAGGGCTCTAGCTACGTTGTCGATCTTCGTTAGAGACATATCACTGCTGATATTCGGGATTCCTACGGCTGCATGTGATTGAATGGATCGAATGGTTTTCTAGGGACCGAATTGGAAATCGATACATCTTTGTTGTCCTCTCGTTTTTTCTACCATCGATATTTGCTATTGTTATGTTGACTTTCTTCCCTTTGAGTCCAAGCCCCTCAGCAACTCCGTATCATGCTGGTTTGAGTACCAGTGCATGCATGTCTTTTTTTTTCTTGACGTTCTTTGCTCCCAGGATCTCTGCCCGAACAGTAGGTAACATATTCTCTCCATATGTTGCAACCGATAAGACGACCGACACGTTTTCATTGTGCAATAGTGGATGATGGTAATGCTTGCACTGGATTCCACTGACAATCTCACTGCACTGACGTCCTCGAGAACAAGTTGACATGTTGTGGCCACGACCAGCTCGTTTTAGACATCTATATAACAAGCATGATTTTCTTTGACAACTTTACAGCGTTCGCTGGCACCCAAGGCGAGGAATTTTT